AGAAAGAAAGAAAGAAAGAAAGAAAGAAAGAAAGAAAGAAAGAAAGAAAGAAAGAGGAAAGAAAGGAAAGAAAGAAAGAAAGAAATTCACATATTCCAGACCAAAAAGAAATATTCCCCTTGAGACTTGAGATGACGTGAGCCCTCAATGACCTGTAATCGGAGAAATCCAGCACACAGGCCAATGGTGGGGAAATGGGGGAGAGCCCCTAAAGTCATGGCAATGGCTCATTTGACCTTGTAACTTGTATTATTTTGAAAGTTGGTTGTTTAGTTTCAGTAGTAATAATGATGATATAGAATAACTACTGGTTACATGAGAAACATAGGACAAGGGCACCTAAGCCATAGCGACTAGAGCTCTGAGCTTCCCACTGTTGGCCCTGGGACTCAGGGGTCAGGTACACTACCCTCCCAGTTCCAGAGACGTGAGCACAAACTTAGAATTGAGATTCTGCAAAGTGTCTTCAACAAAGAACCAGGGTGACCCAGGGTCCTAACTCCTTGGGCCAGGCTTGGGAAGGCAAAATGACCTCTGCTGGAAAACTGTACCAAGGTGACTTTATGGGCCTCTGTATCCTGCTTCATGCTCACCTTCGGCAGGTTCCTGAATGTGAAGTCATCCCCAAGAGCTGCCACTTGGCCCTGAAACATCTGTCCTCTTCTTCAGCCTTCATGTTTCTGGTTCCATAGAAACAACAATCTGGGAAGTCCTAGCCAGAGCAATGAGGCCAGAGAAAGAAATAAAAGGCATCCAAACAGGAAAAGAAAAGTTAAATTATCTCTCTTTGCTGCTATGACTGTATACCTAGAAAACCCTAAGCCAAAAGACTCCAAGACCTGGTAAACTACTTCAGCAAAGTCTCAGGATACAAAATGAATGTACAAAAATCAGTAGCATTTCCATAAACCAAAAACTTTCATGCTGAAAATCAAGAATGCAATCCCATTTACAATAGCCACAAAAAATAAAAATATCTGGGAATGCACCTAATGACAAAGATGAAAGATCTCTATGAGGAGACCTACAAAACACTGCTGAAAGAAATCATAGGTAACACAAACAAATGGAAAAGTATTCCATGCTCATGAATTGGAAGAATCAATATTGTTAAAATGTCCAAAACAATCTATAGATTCAATGCTATTTCTATCAAATTACCAATGTCATTTTTCACAGAATTAGAAAAAAATAACTGTTCTAAAATTCATATGGAACCATAAAAAAGCCTAAATAACCAAGGCCATCCTAAGCAAATAGAACAAAGGTGGAGGTATCACATTACCCAATTTCAAACTAAACTACAAGTCTCCACTAAACAAAACACTATGATATTAGTATACAACCAGACATACAGACCAATGAAACAGGACAAAGACTCCTGAAATAAAGCTACACCCCTACAACCAACTGATCTCCAACAAAGTCAACAAAATAAACAATGAGAAAAGAACATCCTATTCAATAAATGGCTAACCTGTCGAAGAAGAATGAAACTAGACCCCTACCTCCAACCATATACAAAAATTAATGCAAGATGGATTAAAGACTTAAATGTAAGACTTAAATCTGTTAAAATTCTAGAAAAAAACCTAGGAAATACTTTCTAGACGTTGGTCTAGGCAACGAATCCATGATAAGGACCACAAAAGCAAATGCAACAAAATCAAACATAGGACAAATGGTACCTAATTAAACTAAAGAGCTTCGGCACAGCAAAAGAAACTCTCAACAGAGTAAATAGACAACTTACAGGATGGGAGAAAATATTTTCAAACTATGCATCCAATGAAGGATTAATATCGAGAATCTATCAGGAACTTAAATGAATCAATAAGAAAAAAAAAAAAAACCCTATTAAAAANATTAAAAACTGGGCAAAGACAGGAACAGACACTTCTCAAAAGGATATACAAGTGGCCAAAAAACATATGAAACAATGTTTAACATCACTAATCATCAGAAAGATGCAAAGCGAAATCGCAGTGAGATACCATCTCACACCAATCAGAATGGCTATTGCTGAAAAGCCAAAAAATAACAGATGTTGGCCAGGTTGCAGAGAAAAGGGAACATTTGTAAACTGATGGTGGGAATGCAAATTAGCTCACTCCCTCTGGAAAGCAGTTTGGTGATTTCTCAAAGAACTAAAAATAGAACTACAATTCAACCCAGCAATCCCATTACTGGGTATATACCAAAGGAAAAATAAATCATTCTACCAAAAAGCACATGCACTCAAACATATGTTCATTGCAGCACTATTTACAATAGCAAAGACATGGAATCAATCTAGGTGCCCATCAATGGTGAGCTAGATGAAGAAAATGTGGTACACACCATGGAATACTACATAGCCAAAAAAAGAACAAAATCACATCCTTTGCAGCAACATGAATACAGCTGTAGGCTATTATCCTAAGTGAATTAACTCAGGAACAGAAAACCAAATACCTCATGTTCTCACTTATAAGTGGAAGCTAAATCTTGAGTTCACACAGGCAGAAAGATGGAGACAACAAACGCCAGAGACTCCAAAGGAGGGGGGGAGGGAAGGGAGCAAGGGCTGAAAAACTTCTGTTGGTTTCTGTGTTCACTACCTTGGTGATGAGATCAATACAAGCCCAAACCTCAGCATCATGCAGTATACCTGCACATGTACTCCCAAATCTAAAATCTGAAAATGGAAATTTAAAAATAAAGAAACAATGATGTGAAAAATACCACTCAACTCTAGGGGCAATTTTCATCTTGGGCATGGGAAGCCATTTCCATGGCTTTGTGGGCAAGAGATCTTCCATCCTTTCTGCTGTCCAGCCCCCACCCCCTCTGAGGGATGGTCCTTCTAGCTGGGGCAGACACTCCCTAGGCCTGTGGAAAACTGCTGCATTGTTTTCAATCACAGGCTTGTGCCTTAATTCCTCTGCTCATCTCTCTGGGAGTCTTCTGAATTACAGCAGGTGTCAGGTTCAGCAGCACCCAGCTTTGCCTGAAGTAATCAGCAAACTTCAAATGGAAAGCACTTTGGCTGGAAGTCTAATTAAGAGTATTTGAAATACCTATTTATTTTAAAAGCATACTATCCCAATTAGAGAAGAAGTGTTAACATCTCCCAGCTGCCATTCTGAGATGAAATGCCATGTTGCCGTCCAAACTCCTTTGGAGGTTGTCTGATGGAGATTTGGAACTGCCAGTCCTCATGTGTCCCAGGTGACCACATTTCAGATGGGAATCCTCCTCGTTGAGAGAAACCTCTCAAGGCAGCAGATTGTTTATAGAACCTTAACCCTTGCCCTTTGTCCTAGCAGTTGGGCTGAAGGCTAAGACAGAGGGCTCTGGTAGGAATAAAGGCAGCCTACTGGGTATATTTGGATTCCCTGATGTTTTGTAATTCAGGCCTCAGATGTAGGAGTAAAGACGTGACTCAGTGGTACGCCCCCTTTCATTTCTGTCTTTTTTGTGTGTCTTGTACAACCTTTATCCTTTTCATTCTGTTCCCTTTGTCTGCTTCTCTTCACTTTTTCTTACTCTCCATTCTCAGTATTTCCTCTGTTATTGTTTCTTTCTTTTGTCTACATGTTCCTACATTTTCATGAAAGTGTGGGTGTGATTGGTTTGGGTTTGTTGTGGGGAAGGATGATGAGCAAGTTGGATCAGGAGAGTTTTTCTTATATGTTTTGCATAAGAATATGTCTCTGGATGTATAAGTATATGTGTGCCCAGGGAAATTTCTATAAAGGCAATCCCATATCCCAAAGGAACAAAGATTCAGTGGTGAAGTAAGAAGTACCATTTGGAAGAAATGATAAGCCATTCCCAGTGGTGTGCTGAGCTGGCCCAGTCCATAG